TCTGTAATTTGGTGGCTTGTAGGATTGTCCTAATCTATACTTATAATAAATTTCTGAGTTGAATCTGTACCTTATGTATATATTTTTTGAAAAATCTTATTGAAATAAATATTATTATCTATACAGAGGCCGAATCTATAGTTTTTAGAATTTTTGTCCGTCTGACGAGAAACCACTAGATAGATTTTGATGGGTATAATTATAGCTGGATCAACATTTACGATACTTTTTACTGTGGGAAAATATCTCACATCGGAGAAATCTATACTAACCCCAAAATTAGGGACGAACGTACATACGTAAATTTTCCAACTTATCAGTTGGAAAGTCATCAACAAAACAATGCGAAGACGTCAGTTTCATGACGTTCCTGTCCGTCGCGTCGGTCACTTCGTAGCTAACAATTAGCAGGACCAATTGTACCAGCGACCTTAATAGGAATGAATGTCGGAACGACCTAAATCATGTATAACTCATTCGGTACCTATTTTATAGCTATTGCTTTTGAAATAATCTTATTCTTCTATACATATCTATAATAAAATAATAACTAAGCCGAATCTGTACATTAAATATGTTTTGGAAAATCTTATTGAAATAAACATTATTATCGATACAGAGGCCGAATCTATAGTTTTTAGAATTTTTGTCTGTCTGTCTGTCACCGCATCACAGAAAAACCACTGGATGGATTTTGATGAAATTTGGTATGGTGATACCTGGTTATCCGAATCAACATATAGGATACTTTTTACCGCAGGAAAATATCTCATTTCTGAGAAAAAATACAAAAACGGCAATGTAAGAGTATACTAATATGTAAAACCTAAGAATTTGGATTTTGGTCATCTGAATGCGGGCGGAGCCGCGGGCAATGCTAGTATATAAATAAAATCTAAAATCAGAGTCGTAATTATGGAAGGGGAGTACCGGTCACTGAAGTCCTTCACAAACGAAATTTCTAGGTGTCCTAATTGCCTTTTTCCGTATATGAAATTACTAAATCCGTTTTGTCCCGTAGTTGAGCTTAAAGAAGTTAGACTTATATTCCATACTTTTAAATCTATAGATACCCGCCGTGAACGGACACTAGTAATATTTATAACGCTGTAATCGATTTAACATCTATCTCGAAAGTACATAGCTTATGTATTCAGCCCTTTTTATTTATTTTTTAACGTCCCACTGCTGGGCACGGGCCTCCTCAGTACGAGGGGGATCAGGCCATAGTCCACCTCGCTGGCCAAGTGCGGGTTGGTGGACTTCACATGTCTTTCGAAAACTTGCTAGGTTTTCTCAGACATGCAGGTTTCCTCACGATGTTTTCCTTCACCGTAAGGCAAGTGGTTATCATGTTAGAAATGATTCGCACATGAAATTATCAGAGGTGCGAGAACCGGGATTTGAACCCGCTTCACTCGGTTTCCCAAGCGAACATAGCTTATATTCCAGACTAATATACAGACATACATACGTAATAAAAACTTTTTAACAAAAAAATAAAAACCGACTTCAAACAAAAGCACTAAAAAGTAAAAAATAACTGATTGGTAGTTTTCATTTACTATACATACCTAATCAAATATTTTCGAAGTCGGTGTGCTTTGCTTTGTATGGGCTGCACCGATTTCGAAAATATTTGATTAGGTATGTAGGTATTTAATAGGTAGACTTTAATTACTTAGTCAAAGCACACCGACTTCGAAAATATTTGATTAGGTATGTATAGTAAATGAAAACTACCAATCAGTTATTTTTTACTTTTTAGGGCTTTTGTTTGAAGTCGGTTTTTATTTTTTTGTTAAAAAGTTTTTATTTTTCCCTTTTTAGTGTAGACAGTAGTAGCAAAGTAAGAATTCTAAAGTGTTAGGCTTGTCAAACCAAACAAAATAAGCCCAAACTCAAAGTATCTACTATTAGTCGTTGAAGAGTTCCACCTATCCACCTTCTGGCCTTACCATCAGATCAGGTCAACAATACCAAACCACTGTACTATCAACGGAAATAGAAAGACTTGCAAAGTTTCAAGTCAATATGACAATCAGAAGTAGGTTAAATTCATTATTAGCTATTTTTCCACCCTTAGGGGTGGTATTTTTTTTTTAAATTTAAATGGGACCAATCTGGAAGTATACCCTTTCAAACAAAACAAAAATTGTCCAAATCGGTTAATAAATGACGAAGTTCTGGGGTAACAAACATAAAAAAAAAAAAAAAAAAATACAGTCGAATTGAGAACCTCCTCCTTTTTGAAGTCGGTTGATAAGGGGTTTTTCTGTCAACGTACAAACCATGCAAAAGAAAGTAAAATATTTGTTGACAAACATATTATGGATAACTTACATTTTTTTTGGGACATTAACACACAGCGCCATCTAGTTCCATGGTAAGCTACGAGGCTTGTGTTATGGATACCAGATAGTTGATACACTACATAATAATAATAATAATAATAATACACTACATATATGTATATAACTTTAAATACATACATATTATAAATATAAACACCCATGACTGGAGTACATACTTCGTTATCACACAAATGAATGCCCCCAGCGGGACTCGAACCCGCGACCGCCGGCACGGAAAGTAGGGTCACTACAAATTGAGCCAAACGTGTCGTCATTGGAGCCAATATTTTATATTTATTAATATATTATAAGAAGTCTTACAAATATGAAGAATGATGGAAGTGCTCATTATAAGTGATTTCCAAATTCTTTTTATCACAGTATAATGCCTAGTAATTATTCGAGTGACACGATTTGCTCATGTAGAGATTAAATGTGAAATTCACTGTTTACAAGAGATAGGTTTTATCATGTTTATATGTAAGCCGCATCTGTCGCAATGTAGCGGAAAATGTGACAACTTTGATAAAATTGTTATATTATGGTGGTACTTTGCATTTTCTTTTAGTATCTTCTATTACTAGTTTGTAAGTTATAAATATTGAATTCAGCCCTTTTTAACGTCTCACTGCTGGGCACGGGTCTCCCTTCAATACGAGGGGGATCAGGCTATAGTCCACCACGCTGACCGAGTGCGGGTTGGCGGACTGCACATGTCTTTCGAAAACTTGCTCGGTCTCAGACATGCAGGTTTCCTCACAATGTTTTCTTTCATCGAAAGATAAGTAATACTGTTGGAAATGATTCGCACATGAAAATGTCAGAGGTGCGACACCCTGGAATTGAATCCGTTCGGTTTCACAAGCGAGTGTGTTACCACTGGGCTACCACTGCCTTTTTAAAAATATTAATCAAAATATATATTTGAATATTTATTTGAATATTTATTTGAATACGCATATTGAGAATCAAAAAGAACAGAACGTTTCGTACACACTTGTACTAATATTGGTCCCCGTGTGTACTAACCTGTATTTACTTATTGAATATCTGTTTTGATATCATTTTTTTTATTAGAAAAGGTTCGTTAATATATAAAACTATTTTAAATGCCGAATTGAACACTTTACCAAATTCCAAAATCCATATATTACTTACAAATAATAAAGCAATCGTTGTTATTAGATAAATTTAGTGTGTCTGTTCGTATTTCACAATTAATTTACTTCTAAACCTTATTATATTACGATCCTACTCGTAAATAGATGTGAAGCAAACAGTCATGTTGTAATAACAACAAAAATAAAACTCAAGCCAGGTGGCGCTTACGGCGGCGTGAGTCAGTGGTGACTCAAAACTGTCTCAAACGATTGGTCACGTTTACTTGAAGATGAGTGAAGAAAATCCAATCAAGTTGTATTTAGTGTATGACAGTTGTACTTGTCATTCCAACATGTCATCCATTTCTACTAATTTGCCTATAAGTAATGTTAGTCACTGAGTAAAACGATTAACGAAATAGAATTATGAATGTGTAATTTTTGTTACTCTGCTTAGAGTTACTGTATATATTTAATCATAGAGAATTTATTTGTATGAAGTAAGTACATATAATAGTCATTTTTGTCTGTTTGTCTGTCTGGAAATGCAACACAAGGAAACCACTGGACGGATTTTGATGAAATTTGATATAATGATAGCTGGTTTAATATATAGAGTACTTTTTACTGCGGGAAAATATCTCATCTCTGAGAAATCTATACTAAACGTTAAAATGTAACTAGGGACGAACCCAAGCGGAGTGAGTATCAGTCACTAGTTTCATATATTTGCTACAAATTAAATAACATGTAACTCATCATTTAACTTCAGTAGATTGAATGAATATGATAAATCATAATAAACCGTTAAAATAACATCATAAAAGGTATAATAAATTTAAATATATAACAAAAAATTGAAACATATGAACTAAAAGTCTACCATAACAACATCATAAATACGATACCGCAAGTAGCTCTACCTACGAACTCAGTGCGAAGCATCTAAGGTGAGACGCTGGAAATAGCCCCCTCTTCCGGCGACAAAAATATCCCTGTCGCTACGAACCCTCGAGACGTGACTGTCAAAAACGAAGATGTCACCTATATATAATATTTTGTTATAGAGAATAAAGTAAATAATAATTATCTTATGGGAATTAGAACTAAAAATTTCTGTAAAAATTGTTACTTGGTATTTTAAAAAAACTATCCTATCGGATTATTTCGCAAATTTATTTAGATTTTTGGTTCCCGACGTTTCGAACGGCTTACAACAATCATGATCATGGGAGATACTAGTTTTATTTAAAATGTCAAATATTCGCGTAAATCTAAGGAAGTAGTATGTTAATTAATAGTTTACTAACAGGTAGTTTTGTTAGAGTGTTATAAGAGTTTAGAGGGAATTGACATTGAAAATTAGTAACCTCTATTAAGAAATAAATAATATATAAATGTTGGGACATTAATACTCGGCACCATCCAGTTCCACGGTAAGCTACGAGGCTTGTGTTATGGATACCAGATAGTTGATACATTATACATATATAATTTTAAATACATACATATTATAAATACAAACAACCATGACTGAAGTACAAACATGCGTGCTCATCACAAAAACGAATGCCCCCAGCGGGACACGAACCCACGACCGCTAGCACAGCAAATAGGGTAATTACAAACTGAACCAAATTTGTCGTCAATTGATATTAAGAAGTATACATAATTATGTATATTGTTAAGAAAATTTAAAGCTTCCATAAATCAAACTATTTTTCTGCACGCAATTTTTTTTCTTATAAAGTACATATATCAATACAAAAACAATTTCTTATCACAGTAGTATTTAATCTTCTTAACAATGATTAATAAATTTTAAATTTTTCCTCATCGAATCATATAGGTATATACACATTAATGAAATAGCGGAAACGATTCTAATAAAATTGATAATTCTATATCATTCACAATTATGTCAAGAAACACTGTGCCATATTCAATAATTTCAACACACACTGTCAATATGAGTCAGTAATTTAGAAATACGTTTTGGCGAGAGTGTAGCCGGGGATTGAACTCTGTCTATTTGCGTGGCTGGCTCTGCGCCAGCGCAGCGTTTGTTTGACCTTATTCATTCTCCACGATACTTCTGATTACATCTCCTATTGATCCGGTGGTATGCCATATTGTAGCGCTTTGAATATTTTGAATATCTATTGGTATTTTGAGTATCATATTTTTGTATTTTTGGTTAAAAAAAAATAATAATAAAAAAATAAATGCTAATTAAAATAATAAAAAAAACATTATGGATAAGATTACCATATCTACTGTAGTTAATTTGTTAAGTGGCTTACTGATTTCAAAACCACTTTAGACCCTTTGCGAACATTATTTTTCTAGAAATGTATATGGGATGATCTTGGAGGTATTAACTAATCGTCCAAAAAAATCATCGATAATTCAAATCCGTCCACTATTATTAGCGAAGATCTCTTAACCACCAAACACAAACATCCGAATTCAGTGTCTATTTTTAAAGCAAATTACACAGCTATTATAAATGCGAGTTTATATGTGTGTATGTGTATGTTTGTAGCTATTTTATACCGAAAAGGCTGAACTAATAAGAATGCTTAGAACATATTTATGGACCTAGAACATATATGGACCTAGGTCTATGGACCTAGAATCAAATGACATAAGATACTTTCAGTAATAAAATTTGCCAAAAATGTGACGCTAGCTTTACGTAAAATTATAATTATGTACAAAAAACAATTACATCATCGGAGCGAAACGAGAGCCAGTCATTAGAATTTAATAAAAACTTATTATTTTAAAGTATCCGGATTGTTTTGCGATTTAATTTAGATTTTTGGTCCTCGACGTTTTGAATGCTTTACAGCAAAAAACGGGAGAGACTAAGATTTTAGAACGTCTCGAAGGATAGTACTTTCTTAGATTTACGCGAATGTTTGAATAAAACCCAAAAGATAGTTTTATTGAAAATGTCAAATATTCGCGTACATCTAAGAAAATATTATGAAAAACTTATTATTAAACCTAATTTTAAACATTGTCAACAGGATTCTCGTGGGTGCGCCAGAAGACGAGCCGTACCACATCAACGGTGTGAAGCGGCCGGGCGCGGTGTACCGCTGCCGCCCGGGACACCGCGGCGCCGTGGCCGAGGGCTCCGGTAATCCGCTACAAATGTGCTCACTCATGGAGTTTGATAAGACCAAATGTAAGTACCACTATCAATAGAAGTAATCTTGTTATAAATAGATGTTATCACATGTTAAACACTATATTATGTACTATAATCGTGTAATTTGCATGTAGGTAGGTATTGTTTGAAGGGATGATAAGGAGTGCGAAAGTGGAAGGGGAAGTAACGATATGTACATAACTTCTTTAGTAGAGCATAGAGATGAGGACTCTGTTAGGTCCATAACACCCTGCTTTTTATATACAAATCAAATTTTAGATAAATTCAATAAATAAGTCAATTTCAACTGTTTAATATAGAAATCGTTTGCTAAATCTCATATGCCATCTATACCGATAGTTCCATCTGTTCAGAACTTAAAAAACATAACTCTCAAATAAACCACAAAAGGGCAAATACAATTTATCCACCAAACGATGCTCTATTCACAATGATAAATATGACAATGTTTGTGCAAACTTGAAGCAACGTGTGTATGTATGTTGTAGCGTGCCACCGCGCCGTGACTGTCCGGCGCACGCGCATCTGATTTATATCAATGCTCCACCGCCACCGCTTTGTTTAGACGGATGCCGTATATAATACGTCAGGGAATAAAGCACCGCGAAATGTTTGAACATACAACATTTAACTCAAATCTCGATTCTAACCTAATAAATGGATGTGTCAGATCTAGTTTACGTAGTCGTGGGCCTTGAAAATAAATATCAGTCTAGACTCCTTTACTAATAAAATTAATGATATTTGTTAGGAAATGTGCTAGCTGATTAGTTACAAAATTACATTTATTAGCCTTATAGTACAAGCTTTTCACTTTTTAGTCTAAACCTAATTTATTAACACCTCCAGGTGAATTTCTAAGAAATTAATTAAAATTCTAAGAAATCTATTGTTAATTGACACGCCGGCGTGTCCGCGGTCGTAGAGGGATTTAAAGTCATGAAAATTGATTGACAACTAGCGACGCTATCATGTAACAAACAAATAGGAAAACATATAATTAACATACTTCTTTTTTTAAAGGCGGTAAAAATGTTTGTTTTGATTTTTTATATGCCTTGTACAATTTAGGGTAGCTCTTTCGAAATCGTAATCGGACACTTTAATTTTATTTATAAGCGTGAATACGACGTGGTAGCTATTCTGTATAAAAGTCGAACGGATGCTTTAAAAACCTCTATAAATCTAAGTGGCAGTAAGTGTTTATTGCGTAACATGCTCGATTCGGTTTCCTGATGGCCAATTATCTAAAATTCAAGCGTTCTTGAGATTCCTCTCGCGAATAAATGCTCGACATTATGTTGAACAATAGGATTAACTTTTTAACCGTTTTTCAACCGACTTCCTCAAAAAGGAGGAGGTTCTAAATTCACCTGTATATTTTTTTTAACCGACTTCCTCAAAAAGGAAAATACTTTGCTCCTGTGCTTTGCTTTGTATGGGCTGGCACCGATTTCGAAAATCTTTGATTAGGTATGTATTTACTCGTAATAGGTAGGCTTTAATTACTTAGCCAAAGCACACCGACTTCGAAAATATTCGATTAGGTATGTATAGTAAATGAAAACTACCAATCAGTTATTTTTTACTTTTTAGTGCTTTTTTTCAAGTCGGTTTTTATTTTTTTGTTAAAAAGTTTTTTTTTATTTACTGAGTAAATTAAAGTAAATTTTGTGTACTATAATGGTTAAAATATTTATTTTTGCGTATGTTATGTGGTTGTCTTTGCCCGTGGTTTTGTTCGCGTAATAAGCGGGGCGGGGATCGAGGATAGCCTATTTTTATATATATTTTATTATTTAATATACCTCAAGATTTTCTAATATCGCCTTAACATTTAACAATGTGTTATTCAGTATTGTAACTGCCTCGGTGGTGTAGTGGCTAGCATGTACGGCTGCACACTCGGAGGTCCTGGGTTCGAGTCCCGGGTCGGGCCAAGTTTAGTTATTGAGTCTTTCTGTATAGTAAGTCTCAGTAACAGCCCGGAGTTGGGAAGTTGGCGGTGTTTCACCCCTGTGCCTCGGAGAGCACGTAAAGCTGTCGGTCCTGCGCCTTAACTCTCACTGGTCGTGTCGAGCAGTCGTCCCACCGGAGTATGAGAGTGACAGGAATAGAGAGTGCACCTGTGTCTGCGCGTACACTTGTGCACTATAATATCTCCTGCGCAGTTGGCTAGTCTCAATGAGATTGGCCGCCGTGGCCGGAATCGGCTAGGAGAACATCATCATCATTCAGTATTGTGCCAATGTTTAATTGGGATATTAAAGGACTTTTTTCTAATAATAATTAATTTCTCATATTGCTCTTTTATAATATGTTGATAACTCTTCGGTCTCTCTAAATATATCACTTGTAATTTTCCTACAGTACTTTAAAAGGAAGGCAAAAATATGTAGATCATTTCGTAGAGGAATTTAGCTATCATTTGTTATTCCAAATTCTAAGCTTTCTCTGAACTATGGCCTGTAATCAAACGTGTATATAATTACCGTACATCGGATCAGTGGGTCGAGGCTCGTGGGCGGCGCGTGGGAGCGACGCGGGCGGTGCAAAAACCTGCGCAAGATTCATTTGCTACCGATTACGCAATTAGTTTTACCGCTTAGAATTTGTTTACATGGCGATAAAATATTTAGTCAAATTTGTTGTAATAATTACTTTTTTATATTACTTTTTGTGTGTAAGAATAAAATAAAATTTGAAGTGGCTTAGGTCGGTAAGCATTTGTAGATATACTTACATTCGAACTTTCTTAGAAGGTATTAATAAATAAAATAAGGCAGCAGGTAATAACGGGAAAATTTTGCAAAAAATCATCTAATACGGTAATCGAAGCAAAAACAAAGGCCTAAGATACTCGTACTTACATCATAGTGATTGTATTTTCTTACAAACGTGTAAAACTAGAATTTGTACTATATCAAGTTAAAAATAATATTTATTATATCTAAATTAAGGCAATGGTAGCCCAATGGTAACGCGCTCGCTTGGAAAACCGAGTGAAGCGGGTTTAAATCCCGGGTCTTGCACCTCTGATATTTTCACTTGTCTTACGGTGAAGGAAGGAAACATCGTGAGGAAACCTGCATGTCTGAGAGAACCTAGCAAGTTTTCGAAAGACACGTGAAGTCCACCAACCCGCACTTGGCCTGCGTGGTGGACTATGGCCTGATCCCCCTCGTATTGAAGGGAGGCCTGTGCCCAGTAGTGGGACATTAAAAAGGACTGAATACATAAATACATATCTAAATTATTCTATACAGAGAAAATAGTACTTAGTAAAAAACTATATAGAAATTTTAAATACTGTCAATATGTTTAAAAGCGTGTCAATAATAATAATTAGTTATTATAATTAACGGAACTGGTGTACCATTAGTCAATTTTTCCCATTTCTATGATATTAGAAAGTCGGCGGCGATTATTTACAGAAGTCGACACCGATTATTACAATGGAGCTTGTGAAATACCACCGCCTTTGATAAGATATGAGCTAGGGATGTGCAGACTGCGGGAGATTTTTTTTGTTTGTATGGTTATTTGTATGGTCGATTTTATGTTTTTTTTTCAAGTATATATATCCTTTTCACTTACCATATCTCTCTCTTTTGAGCTCTTTCGCGATACGGCCGCCTCTTGTAAATATTCTAACCTTTCTGTATTTTTTTATATTCTTTACTGGTTGTACAATAAAAAATATTATTATTAAATAATTTAAGTTAAATTTTATTTAAATTCAATTTATTTTGTTCATAGTTTAGATGTTCTACAAAAAGTCTAATTAACGCCGATGAGAGGGTTCTAATAAGATCTTTAGATGGATCTACTAACAGTCGATCGTAAATATCTACATATCTGTAATTTTTGTTACTAGTGAACAAAATTAGTTCAAATTACATATCATTGGGATTAAATTATTTTATGTACAATAAAATTTTTACAGTGCAACTAACCACTTCAAGTAGCGTAGTAGTGAGAGCAAAGTAGTTTAGCAGACAGACAGATAGAAAATCTAAAACTCATCTGAATTGAGTACTTTTACTTTTTTTAAGCCATTAGTAATAAACATAAAATAGGACTGTTTATTATTATAATATTTTTTTAATGTATTATGTACTAGCGACTCACCCTCGCTTCGCTCAGGTTCATCCCTAGGTTGCTTCCCCGTACGAACTTTCATCTCCATTTTCACCCCCTTAAGGGATGATTTCAGAGATAAAAACTATCCTATGTCCTTCTCTGTGTTTCAAACTATCTTCTTACCAAACATCTAAGTTCAGTAGTTTCCGAACCTATTCGGTACAAACAAACAAACAAAAAATAAATCTTTCCTCTTTATAATATTAGTATAGATAAAGGTAACAACACTATTTATTTGCATACCACATCAGCGTTATCTGTATTGAGCGGTTATCTAGCTGAGTATAATAGAGCCGCTTCCGAGATTGAATGCACTTTTGAACTTGGGTTGCTCCAGAGATGAGAGATGCTCTAGAATTTAATAATATTATGATATAGTAACACCAATTACTATGATATAGTTCTTTAGTCTTGTCTCTCAGTGAAATAAATTTCATTAAAATCTATGCTGTTTCAGCGTGATAGAGTGATAAACATACACACACTGTAGAAGTACCTACATTGCATGTACAAGATAGACATTTTTGTAAGACGTCATATCTTTTAAATTTTGCGTGGCCAAAAGGCAAAAACGGAACTCTTTAGGAATTTCGCCAGATATTGATGATACCAATATTTAATACTATAAAAATATTAAAAAATGCATTCATTGAATTACAAAAACTGGAAGGGCCGACTGTGTAAAAGTCGAAATAAAAATAATGAAACTACTTACATCTATACTAATATTATAAAGAGCTAAATACTCGTATTATAAAGACGTAAAGTTTGCGAGTTTGTGAGATTGTGAGTTTGTGACGTTGTAGGGGGTAATCTCCGGACCTACTAAACCAATTTAGATGAAATTTGGTAAGAAGATAGTTTGAGACTCT